GTTTTTACGTGTTTTTTTCGCGCGAGCCCGCCGCGCGATGATAAGCGGCGGCACTCGGTCAAACGATCGCGCGAGCAATTAATGACAAACGCCTCGCGCGCCAGCGGTTTTCCGTTTGGAAAAGCTTGGAGACATTCAATTAGGCAGCTCGCCAATCGCGCGGCAGCCGAGCGGGCGAGCGCGGAGTCCAACGTACGAGAGCGCCGGGCGATCGATCAAAATTTTCTTGCGATAAACGTCCCCCTTCTCGTTCGTAATCGAGAGAGCTATGACCTCGCTGCAATATGCAAATTATACGAAGGCCACACGCAACAAAGATATTTATCAATATTTTACTTTTCCCCGCATTTCCGCACGCAAACAATTTAATCGGGTCTGCGTACCGCGCCGGTTAATATTTGATCGATACTTAAGTTCCGTCGAGAAAACTTTCTTCGACGTCGAGTGACATAATTGTAAAAGTCTCGGGGAAACAGGTGATTCGCGTTTACGTGTGAAGATATTTAATAAGAAACACTTTGGGGAGTCAGTTGGGTTTCGCGTCAATTGTCATTTCAAGTAACTGCTTTACAGCCGCGACGCAAACTATAATACGTATCTCGGGAATCGATGGAAACAAATCAAGATACCCGGACAACTTTTCAACTTCAGTGTCGCAACTGATAATCCTCGGTTAATATCCGCGAGTGGAAAAGTTGGCGTTTAATCTAATTGGCCGAAGGACTGACGGGCACAAAAGAAATCCGATGCGCGGACAAGTCATCCCGGCCAACGGTTTGAAATCGATGCCGCTCGAGGGCAACGTTGCCAAATAAAGGGTTAAACGGATCACGACGTCGTATTTTCTCGTGGCGGCGGAACCTGAAAAAGCGTTTGCGATATACTGTTACCACACCGGCGGCACCGGCGCCGCGCCGCGCCGCGCGGTAGAGAAAGGGAAGGAGAGGGGGGAGAAAAAACGCACTCTACTGCCTCAGATATTGAATGGGGAACGAGTGCCGTCCCTCTTACGCCGGCCGGTCGCTCCGGAGTAAGGTCATTGCACACTCGTAAACAAACAGGACGCGCGCGCGGTGGCGGCGACTATAGCGAATACTCGTGCGCGTCACTGAACGTATCCGTACACAGGCGCGGGGATCTAACGGGCGGCCTTGGGCTCGCCGAGCGGAGCGATTTCGATGTCTGCCTTTTAAATTCCGGGAATACATCGTGCGCGCATTTCACGATCGATCATCCGGCGAAACTCCCGTGAATTCCCGGCGAGACGTAACGAGTGTACGACCGCGGCCAACTTTACGGCAAATTCCTCCGGTTGTAATTTCAAGTACTCTCTCTATCTCTCTCTCTCTCTCTCTCTCTCTCTCTCTCTCTCTCTCTCTCTCTCCCCTTGACGAGAATATTGGAGACATTAGGGCTGTCGACGTTAAAAGCGAGCGTAAAGAATTCTTGGCTGGAAAAATAGAAGGGAGTAACGAAAGCTGTGTTGCTCGGGTAATTTTAAAGCTCGCTTCACCGTCGATCGAATGTCAATTTGACGGTAAATTACCGTCCTAAAGATATCATTAAGAAGACACGGTAGATCGTGGCTCGATACCTGACGCTTTGGATTAAATGGATTCCAAACAAAATTCGTCGTTTAATGCGGTTGGCGTGTCATGTGTGTTTATGGTCAAATTCGTTGAGTTTCCAAATAATTGCATCCTTAAAAGGTAAGAGGACTTGAGAAAATAAACAGACATACGTTAAAAGAAAGTCCCCTCGCACCCCCAGACAGGATTTCTGTTACCGAGACAAAAATATTCATTTGGTATAAAAATAAGACAATATCAAAATAAAATCTATGATTCTTATTCTCCTCTATCGAGTTAAAAAAGGTTGGCTTACTATATTGAGACAAGGGAAACTCATATAAATATAAGTTTATATATTCTCGCGTTTAGAATAAAGTTTCCCTCCATCTTCCAACGCACTATCGTTTTATTTTTAATTCTTGAATTTTTCATTTAAGATCAAAATATTCCTTTCTCTACAATAAATATGATATACGCTATATCGATCTTGTTTTATGATACATTGAAATGTAATAGCACTGAATCCGGAAACTTTTTCTGTGGTTGCAATAACAGATTTTTTAAAATTAGAACCGCTAAAACGGCGAATCGCGCGACGATGAGATAGCTGTGAATTGTTAAGCGTACGAGCTATAATTATACTAATAGAAGAACTATTAGTTGTGCGATTCAGTATCCGATTTCGAATACCCGATACGTTGATAAATAGTAAACTAGCCGCCGATATATTCGGCGAGTGTATCATAAGTCCGTGACGTACACAGTGCATACAACGCGGGTCTTTAAACCCGATTGACATACATTTAAAGCGCTTCTCAGTCCATAATACATTCCCTTTAACGATTACACGCTGGATCGCGGGATTGAATGACGCGCCTTCGAAATCCGATACATTAAGAGCATTCAGGAAAATTAATATTATATTTAAAAAACAATGACGCCATCTCTCAAAGCTGAGAGAGCCCAGGTCGCGCAATTTCTTACGCAAATTAGAGGCAAACGCGCATCCGGCGTTCAGTAATTGTTTCCACAAACAGGAACGCTCCGTGATAATCGCGTATATCGCGAGCGATATATAAAACACTTACGCGTCGTGTACGGCTTGACCTATTTTATTATAATCTCGGTAGACGCGATGTAACGCGAGATTTGAACCCGATCTACGTGCTCCCTGCGAGATTAGAAGCACTCTATTTTGTGCAAGCAAATCAACGCGCCTGGAAAATCTGTCGACACTCTCTAAAGTCAATTCAGTGGATTATCACCGAAAACAGTCTCTAATTTGCAGTTATAAAAGTATATCGCGGAGAGAATTTCTTCTTAAAATTCACCTCGAAAAGCATGTAATCGTGAGACAACGTGGCGCTTTGAGGAACTTTACGAGAGCTTTTTGAAATTTTACCATACATTTTACTAGTAAAATGTGCACTAAAAATGTATGATAAAATTTTAAGAAACTCTCATAAAAATTCTTCGACATGCCGTGTTGTCCCACGGTTACACGATTTTCGGGATAAGTTTCAAGAGAAAATTCTCCCCGTGTACCTTTGAAAATCGCAGTGGTAAACTAATATCTGCACTGAGAAGAATGTCTCAAAAAATTGTATTTGTAGCATATAATGTTTATTTCAGTGAAATAAATTTTCACAAATAAATTTTCAAATTGTCTCAGTGTGTTAAATCAGTGACCATTCACTGTTGTCAGCGATAATCCACCGATTGACTTTTAGAGAGCAAGGTGTGCGACTTAATCAACTTGGACAAATTTTCTATTTATCGGTTGCAAAATAAAATGCCCCCGCCCCAGTCAAAATTTTGGCCCTACCCTCTAAAAATCAATTAGTGAATTATCACTGGAAACAGTGAATAGCCACTGATTTGCAGTTATAAGTATACCACTGAAATTTGCAGTAGTGTACTTATAACTGCAAATCAGTGACTATTCACGGTTTCCAGTGATAATTCACTAATTGATTTTTAGAGAGTATGTTGAACCTTTACATAGTAGAACCTAAGACAATAAAAGAGGTCGAACTGCAAGTACGAAATTTACTCCTACTTAAAAACCGATAGTGTCGGAAATGTCTGCTTTGGCCGATTTAGCATTAAAGTATGTCCTTTTAAGTAGGAGAGCTAAAGTAAATTTTTAGAACAAGAAGAATATTATTGTCGCCAGGAAGAAAAAGTGTTTAGCTACGTTAACCAAGGTGGTTTAATTGAACAGTGTATTCCAACGTTTCGACCATCCGAATTGTGGTGTACAGATTTGCGGCATTACTGGACATTACTAGGCATTTTTTGGGCGTTAGTTTAGGCACTACGAAGATAAAATAAAATTAAGTAATACCCACTGGGCATTAGAGGGCATTGGTGTACAACATTTTGGTCAGCGGTTTCCCCCTCGGTGGGAATAAATTAAACTAAACCACCTTAAGGCCCGTGTCCACAATGCTAGAACTTGGTCCAAGTTCTAGTTTCAAGAAACGTGTGGCCAATCAACTTGCAGCTATTCCATAAAAGCTGCACGTTGATTGGCCACACGTTTCCCGGAACTAGAACTTGGGCCAAGTTCTAGCATCGTGGACACGCAGGCCTTTAGCCCAGTTGACGTCGTTGAACAATTTTTCTTCCTAAATTTTCAGGCTGAAAGATTCAAGGGAGGAGCAAAAAATGAGAACGTCATCAAAGTGGGTTGTTGCTGGTCCATGTGGATGTAAATTACCCTTAAAAGTGTGAAGAAAGAAGCAGGAAAATTTCGACCCGGGCAGACGCAAAAAAGAGCGCGTCGTAGATCAGGCTGTGCCCGCCGGCCGCGGCGGAGAAGCCCGGCGCGTGCGTTCCTACGCGTTATCGCAGTTTCTCGCTCGCAGGTTTTTCCGCGCGTCGCTCGACGAGGAGATCGCGCGGGGTCACCGTACTCGTTATCCGCCCTCGTCTTCGTCGCGCCGCGCGGATCTTGGCGTTTCTTTTCCCCCCCCCCGCGTTTAGCGAACGCGCCAACGGTCTCCGAGAGGTACGCTCTCTCCGGCCGGCGTTCGACGCCGGGCCGCCGCGGCAAGGTCAGAGGTCACTAACCACGCTCGTGCTCCGTAAACGAAGCTAAACGGCGCGCCGGGGCGTATCGGCCGAAACGCGCGAAACCGGTGAATGAAGCGGATGAATGAGCGGAGGCAACGGCGATATTACACCTGCGAGCCCTCCCTCCCCGCTCTCTGTCCCTTAAACAGCTATGATAAATGGAAACATTTGGCGAACTGTGAAACGGCGCGCGAGCCGGTCGTCGGTGACTCCCGTCGCGGCACGTGGCCGTATTGTTACGCGACGCCCTAATTCGACGCGCGTGCGATAAAACTTAGGAATCGTCTCGTCAACAACCACCTGCTGTCCCCGAGAGAAAATGCAAGGACTCGAATTCTGCCGATTTCGTACCTGTTGCCAGTGATCCTCGAGCGACGGCTGGGCCGAGAAGTATCCGGTGTCGTGTATGTCCTGCAGCTCTCGAAATATATTGCCGCTCGGTAGGAGCGTATCCATGGCTACGCGCGGCTGCGAGGTCCCTCCGCTTCGGCCTCCTCCTCCGGGCAGGTGGCACACGGGACGCGGCGGCGCGGGCGCGAGTAAGCGCGAACTCTCGGCTGACCGAGCGACGTGTACGACGACGACACCGACCGTCACTCGCCCGTCCGCCCGGCGCGGCACGGCACGACGAGACCGATTCACTGAACGCGCTGCGGACGCACGCACGCACGTAAACGTAGTAGCGAGTAGCGGCGAGTGGCGCACGTGCGTATCATCGGGGAGAGAGGCGGCGGCGAGAGCCCGGCCCTCCCCTTCCGCCGCTGGACGCGAGAGAATGCCGGCGCGAACGCGGGACACCGAACGCGGCAAACACGCGCCTGCTGCCGTAGCTTGCGGCCGCGCGATTCTTCCGCCGCGCACTCGATCGGATCCGCGCGCACACCGAGCGTCGAGAGAGGCGTCCACCGCCCTTCTCGTCTCACTGTACCGAGGAACAACCGCGCACCGCCCGGCGTCGACTCCGTTTACTGTCGCTGGGCACCGTCGCCGAGACACCGCACACGTACTGCGCCAATACGCGAGCGGGACACGAGGGGGCAGGGGGGAAAGGGAAGAGAAGAGGATATTCACTGCGAATCACGGGGCATCACTCGTGCGGCTCGACGCTCTGTCTCCTGCTGCTGGCACCGTCGTCGTCGTCGCGTGCACTGCGGCTCACCTGCGACAGTATTCATGACACGCGGGGAGGGAGCGCGGAGGGGGGAAGACACGCGCGGAGAGCAAACGTCAAAATGCCGGGGCTGGAGTCGTCCGTGGCTCTGGGCCTCTCTTTCCGTAGCCCCACGGCTACTCCGCGGACGCTCCGGACATCGCGTATTCACTGTTAAACGGCGGCACACGCGCTCGCGTCTCTCTCTCTCTTTCTCCCTAGCCTGCCGTTCCGCGTATCGTACCCGTCGCGTTTCTACCGGCTTTTATCGGTCTCGCGCGCGCGCCGAGATCGACGCCGGTCCTCGGCAACTTCTCTCTCTCTCTCTCACCACAACGCCGGCAACACCGGGCCCGCGTCTACGATCTACGCCCTCACGGGAGCCGCGCGCGTCGCGGGAGGGCAGAGGGGGTGAAACACCTTAAACGAGATACTCGACACTCCGGTTTGATATATACGGAACACCCGGCGAAATATCCCCGAGCGCGCTCAAACACGGCACAGACTCTCCCGCGCGAGCGTCCAAGAGCAACTGACGGTTCCTTCGCCGTAACTGCGCGCGAGACCGCCCGAGCGCGGCCGAGCTCGGCCGAGCGCGCGCGATCCGCCGGCGGCTCGTATCACTGCGAGCGGCCGCGCGACGACGCCGCGGCAGCACCGACCGGTGACATCGCGACGCCGCGGCCGTTTCCGCGTGTGCGTGCGTCGCGCTCCTTGCGCCCCTTGTGCGCATTGTGCGTGGTCGTGCGCAAAAATGAGGTGCCGGCGCCGACGAAAAACCGGCCAAATTGTCCGAGAGGCGTCCGCATCCGACCGTTGGCCGCGCCGACCTTCCACGTCCTTCGACCATCGACTGCGCCCGCGGGGAGAGGAAACGCAGGTATGTGCGACTTTTTTTTCCTTCGAGACGTCGTGCCGTCTTCTACGCGGCGTCTACGGCGAGATCGTAACATGCAAGATTTAGAAAATCACAAATCTGGAATAAAATGATAGTCACCTTTTGTCGAATATCGCGGTGCCAACTTCATGCGATAGAAAATGGAGGGAAAATTGATTTCTTTAACCTAAACGCAAGAATATATAATATAAACGTACATTTGTATGAGTTTCTCTTGTCTCAATATATTGTAGTAAGTCAATCTTTTTTAATTCGATAGAGGAGAATAAGAATCATAGATTTTATTTTATTATGCGTAAGGAATATTTTTGTCTCTGCAACAGAATTCCTGAGGGTGCAATCATATTTATTGTAGAGAAAGGAATACTTAAATCTTGAGAAAAATTCTAAAATTTAGAATAAAATTATAGTATGTATCGTTTTGTCGAATATCGCGGAGCCAACTTCGTGCGTTGGAAAATGGAGGGAAAATTTATTCTAAACACAAGAATATATAAACTTATATTTATATGAGTTTCTCTTGTCTCAATATAGTAAGCCAACCTTTTTTAATTCGATAGAGGAGAATAAGAATCATAGATTTTGATATTGTCTTATTTTTAGACTAAGATTGTGAGAAATATAAATGCGTCAAAAATATTTTTTATCTCGGTAACAGAAATTCTTCCTGAGGGTGTACTCATATTTATTATGGAGAAAGGAATATTTTAATCTTAAATGAAAAATTTAGAATACAATGGTAGTATGTATCGTCTTTTGTCGAATATCGCGGAGTCAACTTCGTGCGTTGGAAAATGGAGGGAAAATTTATTCTAAACACAAGAATGTATAAACTTATATTTATATGAGTTTCTCTTGTCTCACTATAGTAAGCCAACCTTTCTTAATTCGATAGAGGAGAATAAGAATCATAGATTTTGTTTTAATATTGTTTTATTTTTATACTAAATAAGATTGTGAGAAATATAAATGCGTCAAAAATATGTTTTGCCTCGGTAACAGAAATCCTTCCTGAGGGTGCAGATTTGCGGCATTACTAGGCATTGTTTGGACATTGGTGAGTGTTATTTGATTTTGCTGGGACGTTATAAAGAATCTAAACAGGTGAACAGGATAAAATAAGATTAAGTAATGCCCACTAGTAGGCATTTGTGTACATGATTTTGGTCAGCGGTTTATCCCTCGCTTTCGGTCATGAAACACAAGTATTAGAAGCCCATCCTGTAAACGTTAACGATATCGTTACGTGCTTCGCGCCGCTTTTTTGTGGTACATTATGTCTGCCCAAAGCATATAGCAATGTGTCGTTAACGTTTACAGAATAGCCGTCTTAAGCTGACGTCGAAATAGTGTGCGTAATTAAATTGGCAGTCAACTTAATAATATTCTTAAAATAACATAATTTACTTATTGTTGCTTATTTCAATCCGTCGACGAAATGGCGAGATACGCGTTTCCGAAAGTGGACGAGCGCTCGCGGACAAATGGTTTTCGTCGTTATTCGAACGAAACAATCGATGTCACGCGAACTTCCGACCCTCCTTCGCTTTGTGCGTGTGAAACGTCCGGAAATGCGTATATTAATTTTCAATGTGCTTCAAAGTGATATCATTATTTACGAACGAAATAGAAACCGCTTCGTGATTCCGCGACGACGGTGCAAGTCTGGAAATTTTATCGCGGAGTCTTTTCGAGACAACCCGAGAGCATTTGCGTAACTAAAAAAAAAACCGCGCAAGATATTAAGTTCTTCGCGGCGTCCGTTTCTTGCGCGCGTTACGATTCTCTCGGCAGCCGTGGAAAATCTTGCACGATTTGCGCCTCAATTGCACAATCCTGCAATAATTGCACGGATCGGACACATCGTTTCAATTACGGCGTTACGACTATTATCTTGGCAAGCCGATATTACGTTCCATTCGAATTACGCGTATAGGCGACGCGCTTCGAAATCCCATTCGAGAGACAGAGCGCAGAGTTAAAGGTCGTCTATAACTTATGCGTCTGTCTTACTTTCACAACGTGGCTCGACCATTCAGGTTTTCTATGCTGCAGTTCCGCGCGCATTGGAGACTGAAAAAAAAAATATCGAAACGCGAATCGAAAAAAGCGTATGAAAAACGGAGGGACGGTTTGCAATGGAAAGCGTAAACTTATTGTTGTATCTGCTATTCTTCTCGCGAGCGATTTAGCTGAAACGTGACAAAAGTGCGACGAAAATTGCTCTTATTGCATAACGTTAAACGCGTTATTAACAGCGCAGTCTCGCGATAACTTGGAATCCAGTCTTATAGGAAATGAATGAGAATTAACACGAGTGTGTTTGCCGTTTGTTCCGTATATCTATGACGCGTGCTTTATCTCCGCAACTCTTTCCCACTGCGCGATATCGCATCTTTGTTTCAATGCAACGTTACATGTGAAAAGGAGGCTTAAAATTATCTCTCGCCAACGGTAAGCTTTGTCTTCTGAGACGGCCTAACCGAAAGTCGAAGGTTTACGTTTGCATAACGTTTAGATTTAACCGAGGGAAACGCGCTTGCTCGTTCAGCGAATCGACTACGAGAAATGCACAAGCACGGAGCACACGAACGCGAATTATTTGCAAATGAATAATCGCTCGTGAGTCAACCGAGAGGGAGCCGAGAAAGGAAGGGGGACAGAGAGGGAGAGAGAGAGAGAACCGCCTTGTGTCGCCGTAAATGATTCATGGATTCTGCGTGTTCGTTAAAGCCTTTCTGTAGACGCTCGTACAGCATGCGGGAATGCCAGATTAGATACGTAAGCAGCGTTTATGGCGAATGGAATTAGAAGACCTAACCGCGCTTATCGGGAGCCCCGGTACCTCGTTTCCGTTCGCGCTATCGCCGTTCGACTATCGGCCGCGTTGGAGGCTGACCGCGTGATTCGAAAAGTATTTTTCTTTCTTTCTTTCTTTCTTTTTTTTTAATCGGTTATTGTGCGCGCTCGAATCGCTCTGTTTGCGCGCCTGATGTTTCTCCCGCGCCGCACAAAGCGCGCGCCGTTTGTATGGGCGCCGTTATATCGGGGGCGTAGTCGAAAGAGTTTTCGGTCGTATTGAACAATGGCTCGGAATCGATAGCGCCGACTCGATCAATGATACTGGCGATATTCTTGGAAATTGCATTTTTTTTTCACCCCCCCGTTTGCGAGCTAAACGGTGGGGTCTCCGGAGCTAAATCGCTCGTAAAAGATATAAACATTCAAAGCGAGCCACACTTTTATCGCCCCTGTAATTAGAGAATGCATCTTTATACGCGCCGAATATAACTCTGGGGGGAGGGAGCCCCTTCGCGGAACATTTACCCCGAGATTATTCCGCGTCCGCGCGCGTACGCTGCAGATATTATCTGCTTTACGAAATTGCGAGCGGAATGTATAGCGCGCTGCGTCGGAGCCTGACCTCGCGCAACCTCTCAACTTCGGCTTCGTTTTCCGGATATATTCCTTCGCTCAGTGGGTTAAGATGCCCGGTACCATAAACATGGCGGTCGCAGTTGGACCCAAGCCCAACCCTCGAGAAGCTTTCTTGTAGCCGGGATACGGTGGCACGTCGATTTTCGCCGCGGAACGACTCGACAGGATGTTTGTTAGACACAAAATGTTTCTCTCTCTCTCCCTCGCCCCCCCCCCCTCCTCTCTCACTCTTACCCGTGCGTGGCGCATGTCCCGGTAAAACGATCGACCGGGTATCCGGGGCCATTAACATATTAATTCAATTATTCAGTTTAGAACGCTATATTACGCTGATCGATGTTTGTAAACCGTATTGCACTTCTAGCATGAAACGTTGCGAGCATACGCAAATAATTTAGTGGGATGGAACGACGAATTTTAACTCTCCACTGGTCCGAGTTTCAGTAGAAAATAAAGCGATATGATAATACTCGATACACAAATTGCCGCGATAATACGGCAACTGGTGTAGAAAAATGGTCTCTTTTTCAAATACAAATTCGAAGTTTCTTTGCAAACATCATGAAAATTAAGTATAAAATTCATATACTTTAGCCAGTAGTGCGAGAGA